GCCTAGTGTGAACGCGGCTGTGAGTTTGCAAAAATAATTGAATCGCGGATCGTTAATTTGGGTGGTACGCCGCAGGAGAAACACGAAAATCTCCTTCGTATTCACTGATCTCCACCCTTTTAACGATTTCACTGATTGTTTGATCTGTTAAAATTGCCCGTTGTTTCGTACCTACAGAAAACTTCTTTAATGTAGAAATTTTGGTAAAATTACAGATATTGCTCCCACCTTACTAAACTTAAAATTCTTGAAATATTCTATTAAACATGAACTAACCAGTCTCGAGATCAATGTATTTCGTGAACCAATGAAAAGTGGTTTTTATGAAAATTTTCTTTCAAAGGTGTGCCACAAGGCGTTTTCAAAATGACGAAAGGTGCATTTTCTGAAAAATTGAAATTGGTCGCATTATATAACAGTTCAAAAATCTTGAACGAATCGAAACGAAATTTTAATTCCCAGGTCTCTTCTGTTTATTTTTCTTTATTAAATCGCTTTTGTTGTTAGGTATCTAAATTGATAGTCTTCAAAATTGAAATTTTCACGTGTTGTATTTCTTTTTACCTAAATAATTTAACATTGGGGTCCTACTTAACCCCAAATATTACTGAAATAAATAGAGAATATGTTTATAAGTATTTTGTAACTAATGATAAAGTTTCCCAACTGGTATTTTGACGTTGCAATGACGTCGTCATACGCAACCCGATGTCGGCAGCCAATGGGGGCACTTAGTTACCTAATTTTACACCTAAATAAAGTATACTTAGATACATGTGGAATTTCAACTATTGTGTTACAAAAACTCATCATCCAATGCTCGCCAGTATAAAGAGCCTTATTCGAAGCTCCGAACAACAGTGAATTAGATATGATAAGAGGGAAAATATATAAAAATAAAATATATTTATCGAAACCAGATCGTTCCAGCTTTGAGTAAACTGAAAAGAGAGCTAGATGAAAGCGAGACCTTTTAGCTGTACCACCCTCCATTTGTAAAACGGAATTTGAAGATCAAGATTGGAGATTTAATTACCTTTAATTACCTAGATGAAACTTGATCAGATAAAAAACGTAATTATTTGGGTAATTGATAATTTCAATATGTTTAGTGTCTTCATATGTTCTATTAGTACTAATGCGACTGTGTTATTCCTAAATAGCCATGATATAATGTTTAATTTTAATTTTAATGTCGCTGGTGAATTGTCCTACAATACCGACTGGTCAGGTGTCTCCAAACGTTAAAACGATAAACTTGTAGACAGGTCATTCGATATTCTCGAGCGAATCTGTGCGCCTTTTTAAAAATGTTTTAAACCCGGTTTTCCTATTGTGTGTTTTTCTTATCAGATCACCTTTACTATTAAATTGATCTTCTATACTAAAAATTTGAATTATTCTCTCCTAAAAATGATTTATAATTCAAATATAAGTAATTCATTATTTACAACGAAAAAGGTGATTTAAGTACATAAAAATAAGTTCACTACTTGGGGAAATTTCAGACTAAAGCATTAAATAATTATTAAGTGCAAGACTGAGGAAGTAGCGATTTTAAAGGCTTGGTTTGCAAAGGATTGTAATTATATTTATGAAATGTTTCTGAAATTTCACTTATTTTCTTACAAAAAATAATTAGAGGCATTGTTGACAAATGGCGAATGCGCAAAATTTATGAAAATGTATTTGCCAAACAAACTTTTTGAATAATAATTTATGATTTATTTGACTAAATTTCCGTTTGATACGTTGATATAATATTTTAAAATTTTAAATTACTATTGCTTGGCTGATTCCTGAGTAAGGGCGTTCGAGCTTTTATTTCGAAAGACTCCAGTCCGGTCAATTCCGGCATTGTACCAATAAAATTCAAAGCACGATAGAGGGGGAAGAATGTGAGGGTGCGATTCTTTTCCCAAAGATTTCTCAAATATTGACCCACGCACGATATTAACGCAATCAGCAATCAACCATCTTCGAGGGCTGGCCGTTGATTAAAAACGACATTGGGCCCCACGCTCTATAAGCCTAATCTCTGCGAAAACATGACAATGCTGCAGCCAAGCGCTTAACATTTTTCAGAGGACTGAAGTGAAACTATCCAAATAACTATTACTATAGTTTACTAGTAAAAATAATTTTTTGTTGCAAAAATAATTGATTTCATGTTTTCGGCGCCAAACATGTTAAATTTTTTCCACAAAACTAAAAAATTCTTAACAAATCTACTGCAACTTCGTAAAAGCATTTTTTAATAATTCTATCTACACAGCGGATTACACGTAATCTCAAAATCCCTGCTACTGCTTAAATATTTAATATTTTATTTTTTTATAACACAAGAAAACTCTCACAAATAATGTTCTTGTATAAAACAATTAATTCTCACTACCCAAATTCCCGCCTTCATTAAGTTTAATATCCTATACCATGCTAATTAAGTTCGATAATAACTTAAGTTCGAATGAAACATTTTTAGTTCCATTTTTAAGAACAAATTGTAATTAAATTGGTAATAAACTTCACAACAAAATTGATTTTTTCAGCATGTATCTAACATCTGTTCAAAAAAAAGCACATTTTTCTCTTACAAAAAGTACATCTTTATTTTATATTTTCTATCTAACCGTTGATCTAATGGTAATCAAATAAATAAATAAACAAAAGTTCCCTTTCAGATCAAAGCTGCTACCAAGGATGAGCATTCTGATTGACACGCGGTAGGTGAGTCATTTCGTTCACTCCCTAGTTAATACCCAATCGATCCGATATCCCAAGACACGTCTCGTCCATTGTGAGGGTCAAAAGTCGCCGGTCATCTTTTATAGGTTAGTTAAGACCATTGTTTCCTCATAGAGACAAATGAGGGGATTCTCGGTTATTTAAGGAAGTACGTGACCCTTCACCCTAAAGCCGACAGTTCTTTGTGTCAAATAATTTGTATCTTTGTGAGATCAGCAGCAAAGAAGTTTCGTTCCAAATTCCAGTGCTTTATATGTGATTGGTAACCGGAATCCGTTTCTTTACTCGCGTTATAATGGAAATGATCGCTAAATGCAGTTCTCGGAAAAATTTCGTAAAAGTATAATAAATATGCTCCTATATCAGTAGAAATGGTGGTCTATATATATATATATATATAGTATTGTTGTTCCTCATAATCAATAAAGTTGTTGGGAAACTGAAACATTTGCCAGAACATCAAACCTAGATTTGTAAGAACAGTTTCATAACCAAAAATACCAAGAAGGCGTAGTTTGGTATTGATTTTGGCTATATTTTCATACTTCACCGCGAATTCTGGGCCGGACACCGAACCAACTTGTCATTACTTTATATGGTCAGGACCATAAATAGACTATCCACCATTTGCCACAGACATTTTCTTGCGTATTCTGGACACATTATTCCCCTAAAACATAGCCACTTGAAACGATTGATCGTACAGCGAAAGATCGAAAACAATACAGCTACTGGCAGATTCCCGTCACGATGGACAGATCAGGTAAACGAGATCACGGGACAACCTCTTGACAAGAATCTAAGAAAGACCAAACATCGACAGCAATGGAGATGTAACATTGGTACTAACAAAACTAAAACGAAAAAAGCCGACCTGAAGTGAACAACTTAAATCTAATATTTAAATGCGTCCTACCATATTCCTTTCAAAATGCGACAGTATTTTTTTCCCCAAAATAACTAGGAACTTTCTTACTGTGAAGAACATCTACTCATGCACTAGCTACGCAACATTTGTGGTACCCTGTTAAAGTCGAATGTTTTATTTTTGATTTGTAAGAATTCAAATCATTAAATAGACACGACTGGGACCTACGCTGTATTTGTTTTGGAAATAATCTGAATACAGTTATATTATTAAGAATTTTATTTTCATAACCGCGTTACCGCATATAGCCTTCGAACATTTGCATGTAGATGTTCGTGGTAGGTTTGTTTAGATAATCTCAGCCTGTTGTCGAAAATCGAAACAATGCCGACCAGTCCATTATTCCTACACGATCCCTTAGGCATACTGTTGTTTTTCGACCAATAACGTTGCGCATAAATCATTTCCGAAGCCATATGTTTCCGCCACAAAAACAATTACGTAGCCAATTACAACGGCGAATATTAAAACCAGAAATCAAAGCGGTCGATGTGGTGATTAAGATAATGCTATTACTAGACCCATATCTATCCTATAATCCATTACAGCCCTTTGTGTGATGCTGGAAGCGCAGTCACTCATTGGTGTTATGGGTTTGTATTTTAGTTTAAATACGCCTGGGAATTTAATTCAATAGTAGAGCGGGCGTTTGAGTTACTCACACAATCGAAAGACGGGTCTGGAAAGGATAAAAGGGTTACAAAAATGCTGCCAACGTTTGTTGCTAATTAATTATTGGGGACTGCGTTTATAATTTTCCAACGAGTTGCCAAAAGAACCTTCTTTTTATTTCCCCCTTATTTTTGAAAAATTAAAATCTTAACAGTGAAGACATTGTCTTGAAAAGAAATATATTTCTTATTATAAGGGATCTTTGGAGCATGTCTTTCTGAAAATTTTTGTTTCTATGATTTTTTTGGGAAATATAAAATTTAACAATACTTAGAGGAATTTTTTAATTTCGAAAAACTCAAAGTAACTAATGGATCGTATTTCAGTATGCAAAATTGCGAAAAAAAAAACATTTCATAGTGAAAGTAATCTTTTAAAGAAATATATATTTCTTTATACACGATTTTTGGAATCAATTGTGGTGGAAATATAAAACTTAAAAAAATATATTTCATGTTATATTTTTATGTTTTTCTTGGCATTTACAAAATTATAATATTTTATTGATCACATGTATGCCAAAAGATACTATACGTCAAAGAGTTAACACTAAAATTATAGTCTATTCAGAACTAAAAGTGGGTATTATTTCAAAAACCTTAAAAAGAAAAACACATTCTTTTGAAAAGCTTCAAAACGGAAAAGAAACACAATATAACTTCAAGAAAATTGTTATTTTCTGGATATAACAATTTTTGGGTTTAAATCTGTTACGCTCCACTTTTCACGGCAGGAAGTATTTCTGAAAACAATCTCAGTGTCAACCAAGTGTCCATCACTACCATTAGCACTGGTCTCACCTCAGGGTCGCAAAAATACATACACTTGGATATCTCATAACCTGCCACGCACTTGTCATCGAGAGTCACAGCTGAAAAAAAATCATTAATCAAATATTAAGCGAAAAATAAATTAAATTTTGACCCAAATAGCCCGAAATATAAGTAAAATTAAAATTTGCTATTCTACCAATGTTAAGGAGAGCCTAGCCTATCTAGGTACTAGCCTTGATAAAGCCTTGTAAAGGTCTAGACTAGACTGGACAATTCATTAAATACAATGGCAACCTAGTTAAGGCAGCCTACGGTCGCTTAAGTTTATTTCATAAGTTTAAGTATGTTTTAAATCGAAAGTCTATGGAGGACTTTTTTTATCCAGGTTTTATAATCGAGAACTTGTATACCGGCCTTTGTATTTTGACAGTGACGTTTCTAAAAGACCAATTTATCACCTCTAGATATTAAATCGGTCCCTAAGGGGAATACCTAAATAATAAGATTATTACTTTTATTCCTCTTTTCTTTGTAATACACGTAATTTTTTATATATTACTAGTATTATTTTACAGAGTTTAAGAATATATTGTTCAGATTGGGCCCAAGCATTCCATGGACTTTCGTTACTTACCTGAATCCTTGCATACTTGAAGGCACCTATCTGTATATGCTTTCAAGGATGGTGGAAGTTGTTTCGTTTGTTGTTCAGCCTGTGCCATATCGAGTTTATTATTTTTTCCGATCTAAATATTTTTCAAATTATTCAAACGATATGAATGTTTCATCGATTTGTACTCACGAGCTTGTATTGGTTTAAGGCGCACTGCATGTAACACTAAATATAAAAAAATAATTAACTTTTTGCAGTGTACAGTAATATAACTAATGATAAAATAATTCTTGCCTGTAATTTGGAAGTCATATTTTTAATTTAATTAAAATTTTGTAGTTTTGCAGTTCGGACAAAAATTGTTGTTATGTACAAGATCCATTATTTTTGACTCATTATTACCCGACAATGCGCACGATAATTTTAAAATATTTTCTACTTTCTAGTTATTTTAATATATATTAAAAAGAAAAGAAAGTTTTATCGTCTGAAAATTGTTTTTCAAAGCATCTCTTCTGTCATAATGCTCTGTTGCCAAGTGGCATTTTTGCTTTTTCTCATTTCCCATATAATTAACGGATATCGCTAGCTCGTTAAGAAATCGACCAATTATCACAATTTATGCAGATACTCCTTTATTATGAAATACACAGATATTCGAAAATCGAGGTTACTAATTATCGTCCCCATCACAAATTTGCTAATGGTATTTTGTTCATTAAATTTGTCGATAATTAATGTGGAATACCGTCTCATCAAATGGAGAAAAATAAGTATGTTTCCAGCAATAATTACTCTTCCCAATTCCGCTTGTCTCGTGCATATGTTTAAATTTGTCCATAGTTTGTTTTACTTAAAATGGATCTAAATAATGGAATCGCTAGCTCTGTTAGATATAGATTTTCTATTTATTAACAAAAATGTATCAAAATATTGTCTTAAAATTTAAAATGTTTGATTTAATCTACACTATAAACGTTTCAAAGTTCTACCAGCTCTTTGAGTAGAAACTAATAAAAAAAAACGATTTCGTTCAAAAATAACATGAGAAAATTGATTATCATAAATAAAAAACTACTGATTTAATCCAGAACAGGAAAAATACTAAATAAGTGTTGGCTGTGATATTAGAAAAGTATTTTTTTATTTGCTAATTATATATAAACTAAGAAAACGACTCCAAAATATTAAATAGTGAGCATGTTGATCAGAATATCAATACAATCTAATTTTTTAACCCACTTATTTTGCTTTAATTTAATACAATATTTATTACTGTTTTTATATCAATTATCATAGAGACAATGTCATGTTATTTTGCCGAATTACTACAAAATTAACCCTATAAGAAGAACATGGTAATTATCGTTATGAAATCTTTCTTTGTTGCCTCTTACCATAGTATTATGGCCAATATCCCAATCTCCCACGTGCATTTTGTCGATTTCCTCTAAAAAAGGTTGTGTATATAATGGATTTTTATTTACTGCCTCCAAAATGCATTGCACCATAAGCGTATAGTCAATGACCAAAACATCGAACAAACTTTTAGGAGGCTGCTGTTATTCCAAAAAGCAACACAACAATTTTTTTTATTCTAATTATTAAAACTCCATATTTGGACATTGGCAATATGCTGATGACCTGAGCGTCTATTTGTAGTATTTTTCGTTCACCTACAACCGTCAGAAAGGTATTACCTGGCAAAGCCTTGGTCTTAGGTAAGCACATGTTTCGTACAAGTCTCACAGCTGCCACCACTTGCTTCTCAGACATCTGGAAAGTGGTAGGTTCGCGTCAGGTGGACTTCCCTTAAAATATCACCACACGATTTGCAATACTCACCGCTGCGAAAGCTACGTCATGGTTACAAACACAAACGATAAACAACAACATCAAATTTGACTCGCGGAGAATCATATTTTCGCGGCGTTATCCCTTCAGCCGAACAAACAAATAAAACTTTATAAAATAATTATTTACCTTTTTAAAGTGTCGCGGAATACGCAGGAAACCGCAAACGTTTAATTACACAAATTATAAAAGCATAGGATATTCGTCGCGGTAATTTACTAATTAATTAACGAGACAATGTTTGAAAAAAAAACCATTGACCGAACGGGAAGGCATTATTATCTATCGTACAAAAAAAATTCAAAATTATGTTCTGGGTAAGCTTCGAATTAAAGGTCGGTCATGATTATATGGCCAAACCCGAAAAAAATCGTTGCCTTTCCTCACGCGATCGTAGTAATTATTTAAGAAAATTGTTTTTGAATTTTAACAATAATGATCATATTTTATCATATTTTGTATATAACATAATTTCTCATTCAGAGAAAAATTTATCTATAACTTCTTAATTTTTTTATAACAATAAATGATTTAAACAAATTCTTATTTCTATTATAAAACTAAAAAGACATTTTTTTGGCTAATGTTTTAAGTTAACACTAAACTCTGACTCAATAACTTTGTCTTTAAAATTTAATGAATTTTCGAGTTTGAATTTATGACTCGAGCGCCATCTACGCTGAGATTTATGAAACGTCTGGTGAATCAAGGAGCTGATGAACTAGTGCAAGGAGTTTATGAATTTAGTACTCGAATTTATTTTATGCCATCATCATCATTATCATCAGTAGCACTACAACCCTGACTGAGTCTTGGCTGCGTTTACAATTCGCCTCCATTAGTGACGGACTTCTGTCATTTGGGGTTGGTACGTGTATCCCATTACCCTGAGATCTGATATTATATTATCTCGCCATCTTAAACGAGGTCGGCCTAGAGGTCTTCTCCCAGCTGGATTGTCACTCCAGACTAACTTTATAATTCTATTTTCTGGACTACGTTCTATGTGTCCAAGCCATCTTAGTCGTCTGGATTTAGTCTCCAGGACAATGTCCGCTTCCTGATATATGTCTCTCAATTCATTGTTGTTTGTTCGTCTGTAGTTTCCCATTTCAGTATCTTTTACAAGGTCAAAGATTACTCTTAGGATTTTTCTTTCAAAGCATCTCAGTTTTCTCCCGTTTTGCTTCGTTATTGTCCAGTTTTCGCACCCATACATTAGTATCGGTCTTAGTATGGTTTTATAGATTTTAATTTTGAACTTTCGCTATACCACTTTAGATTTAAGGACTCCAGAAATAGCAAAGAGACATCGGTTTACGCTCTGGATTCGACTTTTTAGTTCTTCTGTTATGCTGTTGTTCTCTGTTATCGTCACTCCTAAATACTTGAAACTATTCACTCTTTCGAAATTGTAGTCTCCCATTGTGACATTTTGTCCTACACGGTATCTGTTTACCTGTCTGCTGACACACATATATTTTGTTTTTTCTTCATTTACTTTGAGGCACATTTTGCTGGCTTTCTTTTCTATTTTTACAAACATTTCTTTCACTCCATAGACCGATATTTCTATGATATCGACATCATCAGCGTATGCCACAAGCAAGTGCGGTTCATTTGGTGAAAAAATTTCTAGGTTCACTTCTGCATCTCTAATGACTTTTCTAGGGCGATATTGAACAGCAACGGGGATAGTGCATCTCCCTGTCGTAGGCCGTTGTTTATGTGGAAATAGTCTGATAATGTTCCTATACGGACTGCACTTTTTGAGCCGCTAACGCCGCTTTATCAGTGCTATGAGTTTTGCTGGGATGGAGAGTTCTAACATGGCTTCCCACAAAGCGGTCCTCTTCACCCTGTCATATGCCTGTCTAAAGTCTATAAATAGATGATGAATTCCTTTGTTAAATTCCCAGCATTTTTCTAGCATCATCCGTATGGAGAAAATTTGATCTGTGGTTGATCTATTGGATCTAAAACCACATTGATATTCTCCTATTATATTTTCTGCATATGGTGTCAGTCTATGTCTATTATTTTGTATAAGGTGTAAATAAGCGATATAGCCCTATAATTATTGCAGACCATTTTATTTCTCTTCTTATGAATGGGGACAATTATGCTTTCTTTCCACTGGTCAGGCATGTTTTCCGTTTCTCATATATCCGAAATCAATTTGTGTATATTCTTGTGTAATATTTCTCCTCCGTATTTTATCAGTTCCGATGGGATACTATCACTGCCTGCGACTTTTCCATTTTTTAATTTTGCTACAGCCGCTGTCACCTCTTCCAGGCTTAGTGAGTCCACTGACCAGTCAACAGTTTGAAATATTTCTTGTAGAAATCCCTTACTCTGTTGTTTGTGTTATCATCTTCGAGGTCTTCAGACTTTTTTCTTTCTTCCTCTCTTTTCTTTCTTCGGCATATTCGTCTCACTTCCTTACTGTGTTCTTGATACTTTCTGTTGTTCTCTTCAGTGTTATGTTGTATGCCGATCTGTCTCCATTTCTCTCTTTCCTTTATTTTTTCCTCGCATTCGCTGTCAAATCACTTTCTGCTCCTATTTTTTAGCTGGTCACCCAGAACATGTCTTGTTGTTTCTAGTAAGCTATCCTTGATTATTGGCCATTTCTCTTCCATTGTGTTCTATGTTTCGTTTTCGAGAGTTGTTTGGTCATTTCGTGCTCAAACCATTTTTTCCTTCTGTCGTCCTTGAGTGCCTCTACGTTCCAGTTTACAGAGGGTTCCGTTCTTTTGTTTTCCATCTTGATATTTTAATTCGTACTTTAGCTTTTAGAAGTATGTGGTCTGTGTCTCCATCTGCTCCCCTCATGCTCCCAACATCAATTATGTTGCTGCTATGTCTCGCATCGATTACTACATGATCTATTTGTGTCCTTGTTTTGTCATCGTTTGTTTATGTATATATAAATTACACCGTAGTCTTATATAAGCTAGACATTTGTTTATTGCTTCAAAAGATATGATCTTTTAACAAGATGTTGCTTTATGACAAAATCAGTACCGAATTCGTGTAACTTGTCCTTATTGCCACTGAAGAATACAACTGAGTTGTTGACGTTGTCAGTACGGCGGATAAATGAGTCAGTGCCGTAGAAAGGAAAATTTGAAAATTGCTTTTCGGTGTTGACGCTTTGAATTGTGATAAAATCCTTCAAGGCTTTTATTTTTAAGGTAAGATAGATGAACAATATGCATAAAAAATATCAAAGTCTACTTTTAAAGCCTTTGAAATTTTAATTAAAAAAATAGTAGTTAGAACGGAATTGCCCAAATAGGACGATTAACGCCGAATGTTCTATCATAAGTTTTGGTATGTTTTGGTCTCATTCACTCAGCTTTTCTTTTCACATTTTCTGAGCAGAAAACTGTCCGCCGATGTTCTCGAATGACTAGAGTTGGAAAGTCCACCGTTTTTCATTTAAGTAGAGAGACGGCTCTAAAACTTCTCGATGAAGACAGCGTAACTTGAAGAATAATTCATTCGTTCTTTTTCAAAAAGGAAATATCCACCCCAGATAAAATAATTTTGCTTTGCCATAATGACAATAACCTTTGATAACTTGAAAACCCTTTAAAAAATCTGGACTTTGCATGGGAAAAGCATAAGAGATTAAATTGTTTGCATTGGACAAAAATACTAGATAAGTACCTATATATAAATGTAGATTAATGAAGATTATATTATAGCAGCAAACAAGCAGGTCGATCAAAGGGTATTAAGATGCCTTCAGCATATTTCAGTCGTGCCATACCGTGAAATGATAAATGATAAAGTAGATTTCGACTGATTCACTATTAGTTATGAATAACGCAAGATATCACTCACGAGGCATAGAGCGGACTACAACTTCGTATTGAAGAATACAAGAAATTATCCACGGGATAACCACCAAGAATATTGAATAAGAAGAATCATTACAATAATGTGAATTTACACAAATATTGTTTAAGGAAACGAGCCGATATATAACAGAAAAAACAGCGTAACTGTGTCGGGTACACATCGACTAACCAAAACTAGTTTATATAGAACTTATATCGGCCCAGGCTAGACCCAGATTAAAATGAGGAGCTATTGTTTGATCAAGCCAGTGGAGAAGTGAAACCAGAGAACTGGCACAAATGATAGGCTGGAATATCATTTACCTGCACTCGAAGAAGAGAAGGAATTTTGCATTCACTCTGTGGGCCATTCGCATACCTAATTAGATTTTATTACTATGCAGACTTCTGAAATAGACTTTTTTAACTTGTGCTTGTCGTTCCTGTATATCATGGAGTTTTTCTTTCATTCGTAATATCCAATTTTGGTGTTTTGCATGTATATTTTCGATTTTATTTTGCTCTTCCCACTATCATATTTCCGCTGCTCAATACCTACAATATTGTCGAAAATCATTCACTTGTTCTCAACTGGATTAAAAAACGTTTCCTTATAAGGAAGAATTTCCTGCTAAAACCACTTCAGGAGCATTTTAAAAGTAAGTACAGTGTTCAGCTAAAGGTTTCAAATCAGCTGACATTCATCGCGATGATGATGAAAATGATATGATGAAAATTTCACGAGTGATGAAATTGTGCGAAAATTGGTTAGAGCCTTTAAAGGTGGCCGCAGAAATGTTTACGATGAGGAATGAAGTGGCCATTAGCGATGACTTGATTCAAAAAGTGGATTGAAAAGTGATAGAGAAAAGACGATCCACGATTTGTGTCTGGACGTTTAAATTATCGGAAATTGTGATCACGAAGGGTGCCAAACACAAATCTAGCGATACAGTAACTAGGGGGATGATTTTTAAGCTATATTGTCACAAAGACGAAACAGAGAAATTCACACAAACAATTTCTGCTCACAAAATCATGTGTGCTCTGTTTTGGGACAGAAAAGGTGTGTTGCTGGTCGATTTTTTGCCTCGCGAGGAGACGACCAATGCAGCGGCTTACTGCGAGACATTTAAAAAACCGACGGGAAACAATTGTGTACCGTCCCGATCTAGCGCCGATTACCATTTGTATCTGAATTTATAGAAGCATCTGACTGAGTGAAAACGACGGTGATTCTTTGACAATGGAATACAAAAGCTGGTCTCAAGATACGATAAGTGCCTTGATATTAATGGGAATTACGTGAAAAAGTATAGTATGGCCTTTCAAGTGAATAAACTACTTTGGAACAATATTTACTTGTTGTTTTTTTATTTCAAAACGAGACTTACTTTAAAACACTTCTCGTATATACTTTTTGCTGCAGCTGCCTTCATTGTGGAACTTGTTGTCCGCCCCTGAACGAACAGAAAATTAAAGAGTGTAATTGATTAATTAAGCACTTTTTCGTTGGGATTTCTTTTAGGCGCACACACTCTATGTCAAAAAGGAAGACCTCGTCGTGATAAAGGTCGAACCACATATATAACAGCGTAACAGCGGCCGCGAGGGAAAAAAGACAAACGATCTACAAGATTGATGAAAACACGTTGACGTCACCTCTGTATAGTGAAAATAAATTAATAATGTTCTCGTCTCCATCTATTGCCGCCGTTCTTTTGCTCTTCCTACTTTTTATGGCACCTTTGTTATCCCGCCGGGTCTCAAATAAAACTTGCAGAAATTAAGTTACTTGAGCACGCCATTTGCCAGTATAATTAATCAATTTGAAATAGAGCGCGTTTTTCTTGGCACTTGTATACCCGCGCTCATCCAAATAATCGAAAACAAACAGCGTAGCGACGTTAAGAATTATCCTTAGATGTATGAATACAATCCAATAGAGTATTGGAGCAATATTTTGGAAAATTAAATGCTATGACTAAAAAATAAATTAAATTAATTTTTAATTTAAGAAATTGGTAAACTCCACCAACATGAACTGAAATATGTGTATGTCTCATTAAAAAATGTACTTCTATTCAGGCAATGCTAGCATCAGATGATTTAGAAGTAAACAGAGACATTAAATAAGAATATATGTTATTTTCACTTTATAGGGCCATATTAATGAGATATTTGAAGACGAGAATACCGAAGTGAATGTGAACCGAGTACCTATAAGCACATATGAATTTATGATAGACAAATTGACTAATACCAGTTAAAGTAAACAGAATACTCCACATGTTAAGAACTTATTAACTTTTATTTTATTTAAATAAAATCAATAAACAGGAGAAAATTATAGGACTATCACGATCCAATCGCGTGGCAGTGCATATGTGCATACAAAGGGATACTGCCCAGGACGCCAGTGCCAAACTGACCGCCAGAGATACAGTCCACCAACGAGGGTGTATAGGGATAGGTATTCTGAAAATGCAAGACTTTCAGCTGATGGTATCGCAGACTAATAACAGTGTAGAAATAAATATTTACATAGTTACACCTTGTTTTTTAAGGCGAGAGAGGGAACACTCTATAAGTTTTATTTTCTTTTTAAATCTCTTACTTTTGTCGGTAGAATAAATTTGAAAGTGGTGTGGCATTATACGCAATAATCGGCCCAATATTTTACGACTTTGTTCTGAATGGTGAGAGATATTTAAATTTGTTGGAAAACTATTTATTTTGTTAAACTAAATAGTGTGCCATATCATACTATAGTGCCTGATGGAAATTGTTTAAATCAATATTTTCCATTTAGGATTATTCGGTACGGGACCATGGATTGGCCAGCCAGGAACACGGACTTGACACGCCTGGACCTATTTTTATGGGGCTGTATGAAAAGCGAAGTGTTTAAAAATAGTTGTAACAATGTGTTCCCACTTTGTTGTGTTGCTCTGTATATTGAATATTGGTATTGGTATTGGTATTAATGAGGGACGCCATCGCGGGCGTCCAAGCACTTAGGCCACCAGATGGGCCCGTTGTGCCCCCAGGCCGCTCTAGAGGACGTTCAGAATGCCGCCCCTCCTATAGAAGGTCAGCAGCTCCTTTAACCCAATACCGTGCACTGAGTCCGGATCAATCAGGGCCGTTCCGAAGACTCCCAATCTTGCCAATGTCAAGGCAGGGCACTCGGTGAGAAGATGATACGGGGTCTCCTCCCTTTCCATGCACCACCTACACTCCGGGTCGTCTCCAATGCGTAGCAAGCAAAGATGCCTCCTAAGCCTGCAATGTCCTGTGTAGGCCCCTGTTAGTGCTCTACACTCCCATCTGGTCAGTGTATATTGAATATAGGAAGTACAATAAAATTGCGTTCGAAAAAAAAAAAGATGTCTTAGGCCTACAAAACTGTCATCGCAAGTATCAAACAGATGTGGATAAGCAGGTCAAGAAGAACGAGAATCAAATATTCTAGATTTCTTCTACATCGGTTGTTAATGAATCGAACTGGCTAATCGGCCTGTTGGCTTCTTCAGAGCTCAACAGAAATTGGCTTGAAATCTGCTCTCTACCTGCTTGAAGAAGGCGGAACTAAAGGAAGGACATGAAAATTGTATCAGATGACTTGATTCCCATATCATATACAGCCCAAAAAAAAAGGTTGGATTACTGGCGAACTCAGTTTTTATAGAACATTAACAGGATTTCAAAACCTAATCCACAACACGTTTAGTTAACAAAATATTCTTCTCCCATCTTCCGAAATTATATCACACGAGTACCATTAGAGGAAACGGCATTGTTTGCTGAGAGACTAAAACTCAATAGCCGCATGTCCATTCATTCGTTCCGATGTACTGAGATTATAATTACGAGAATGTAATTACATATACATACGCGCGCGTGTGTGTGTATTTATCGTGGTCTTAATTTAACCTAATCTACTTCGCATATGATTATTTATAAACTATACCAAATTAGAACTGGCCCATTTCCAAAGATATCTTTGACGAAGGGCAACTTTTATGTTACATAAAACGATTTAGTAAATTTGTTCAAATATTTGAAAATGAATCTTCTGGAAAGTTGCTTGTTATTGGTGCTGGTGCGAGGATTCTGTTTTGCCAAGACTAGCATTCGCGTAGGTAAGTGTTAATTAAATTAACTTAAAATTTAGATCACCAGATGGTAGCTCCGGCGTATTGTTAAAATTGACTTTAAAAAATGCTATTGATTGAAGTTCCGGAAAATTGTTAGTGAATTAATTCTGTAGCACATTACGGTGAGGATGTATCAACATCTATCAATTGGAACGTACTGTATGAAAATATCGGGAAAGATTTCGATTTGTTACCTCCAGAAACTCGAATTATTAATAAACGCGATTTTTTATCTACAACGCGAATGTGTAAGTAAATGTAGGCTCGGTGTTGCATGAAAATGAAATTATTTTAATTTTCTCAGTATACGATTCGATGTCGCAAGACGGAAAGCTCGTCGCTGTTTTGGGAACAGCCAGCGTTATCGCATCATCCAATTTGGAATCTGTTTGCTCACATCTTTGCCTTCCGTACGTGACGGTTAAAAAAAGAAGCAAAAATCTACACAGCAGTACATTCAGCCTCTATCCAGATTCGGGGTTACTTTCCAAGGTGATGAGAAAGCTTTAGAGTTTTTGTTTTTAACATTCAGCAAACTTCTAGGCTCAAGCAACCATAATAAAAAGTTTCGATTGGGATGGATTTATTTTACTCTATGAGGAAGATGATGGTCTGCTCAACCTTCAGGAAGTCCTGAAACTTCAAAATTATAATAAAGATAAACCTAAAAATAATATTCTGATTAAGCAGCTTGATCCCGGTTGGGACAACAGGTAAAAAAATAATAACCTCTTTCAAATCAAATCTTTCGATGTCTGTATTAAGGGAAGTTCTTAAAAGCCTCAAAAACTCCACCATAAGGAGAATCATACTAGATTGCAATGTCGAAAGAATCTCTGAGATACTCATGCAAGCCGAGGAAGTGGATATATTGTCAGATTTTTCTACCAGCATTTTCCTTACATCACTGGTAGGTAGCAATCTTCGAACTCCTTTTGTTCCCACTACTGTTTCAGGACGCCCATACTATAGACTTCACCTTTTTAAATACTTTATCAAATATAACAACAATTAGACTGTTTAATCCAAACGAGCCCAGTTTTCAATACCGAGTGTTAGCTTATTATCCTGATATCACGCCAAATCAAATTAAGGTAAACAACTGCACAACAACATAGTGATTACGTCTCTGAATCTTGCTCTTGTTTAAGCTGGAAACAGCACTTTTGCATGACGCGATGTTATTGATTGCCATGCTTATCAATACAGTGAATGGTGATATTATTAACCAAAAAAATTACTGCAATTCAACAAAAAAGTTTGACCAAAGCCTCGAACTAGCTCATAAAATACGCATATCAATCCATGACGGACTTACTGGATCTCAGATCGACTTACATAGTGGAAGGAGAAACAGATTTAATTTAGAAATCATAGAAGTCAACAAACCTCACAAACCAATCGCCACTTGGAACTCAAAATTTCCAGACACCATTAACTTGAAGAGGAACGCTACTGAGCGGGAGGCCGAATTACAACGGAGATTGTCTAGCCATAATTTTATTGTCACCTCTAGGTAAGAATATTCTATCAGGAAAAAGTTCATTTCATCCTCGGCATCCAGGATAGGCGGTCCATACCTCTACCAAAGCAAAGAACCTGATGCTATCGGTAATGCTAGATACTACGGATATTCAATGGATCTTCTTAAGGAAATAGCCATTCTCATGAACATATCATACGAATTTAGGATCACGGAAGGCAATTTGTATCCTAATTTGGCCAGCGATCTTGTTGAAAGGGTAATGAAAGTAAATAATATTTGTTCATAATTTTTCTAATCTATTTTCCCACAATTTGCTGCATACTAGCATACTCTTTATTTGTCTTATTGTGCTTTAGTACAGTATTTAAGTATTTCAGAGAGCCGACTTAGCCATATGTGATTTTACGATAACTCCACAAAGACAAGAAATCATTGACTTCAGCATGCCGTTTATGAATTTAGGTAACCATTTGAGCTATTAATAAGCTTTTAAATCTTCAACATTCGACCGTATTCGAATTTTTTAAAACTTTCACGTATCGGCCGTATATAACACTGGGCAATATTTCAAGTTTCGAATGCTGTTGAATTCTTAAAAAGTCTATCACGAAATTGACCATTTGCTTAATAAAATTCTCGATGACTCAGTTAGTTTTATCTGAAGTCGGCGTAAATTTTCAGGAATCGGAATCCTGCATAAAGTTTCCGACGAGATAGAAGTCGATAATTTGTATGGTTTTCTCAAGCCTCTTTCGTGGGCGGTGTGGTTTTATATCTGGACCTTAAATTTGATTATTTCTCTAGTAATGTTTTTCGTTGCGAGGTAAGCAATATTCGATGTTAGCCGTGTTTAATATGATTTCAAAAGTTGCTCTTTTATAATCTTTTTATTTTAATTTGCTTAAAAGAATTTTCAGTTATTCTTATGTAACATCTTTATAAAGAATAAAATACATTCTACTCAAATTTAAATATTATTAATACATGTTTTTGTATGGCTTGTTCGCTAGGCTTGCACCAGGTGAATGGAAAAGCCCGAAACCATGGGACCCGAACGTTAAAGAATTAGAAAATATATGGGATATTAAGAACTTCCTGTGGTTAACCTTGGGCTCAATAACTACACAGGGCTGCGATATACTTCCAAAGTAATGTAGCACATAACACTTGAGGGAAGTAATAATGTTGCAATAGAAATCATTATGTCTAGAGCCCCTTCTACTAGAATCATTTCCGCATTTTGGTGGTTCTTCTCGCTTATAATTTCGAGCTCATATATCGCGAATATGGCTGCTTTTCTCACAATGTCGAAGAACGTCGAAACGATTGACAACGTGGAAGAGCTGGGGAAGCAGTCCAAAGTGAAATACGGTTAGAATTTTCGCAATATATAACCTACATCATATTAATAAGGACATAAGAAAGGGATAATATCCTTTCAGGTTTAGTTGAGGGGGCTTCCACTGCTGCGTTTTTCTCTACTTCCAACAACAGCCTTTACCAAAAGATGTGGAACAACATGAAAAACGAGAAACCGTCAGTTTTTGAAAAAGACAACGCAAACGGCGTTGAAAGGGTACTATCGACGAAAAATTCCTTGTACGCATTTTTTATGGAATCTACTGGAATTGAGTATGAGCTTGAGAGAAAGTGTAACTTGCGCAAAATAGGCAACTTGCTAGATTCAAAGTCCTATGGAATTGGGATGCCTATGAGTGAGTTCATTGCCCGAGTTGTAAATCTCGTATAAGTTAAGCAATGATTCCAGATGCTGATTATCGAGATTCAATAAACGCTGCAGTCTTGACGTTGCAGGAAAATGGGAGACTCGGAGAACTCAAAGAAAAATGGTGGAAGCTCGAGAGGCATGGAAATCCTTGTCCACCCGTAAGTTTCCATAGTTACATTATCGTTGACGGTATATCTATAGCGTTTCGTAGGTCGTACAACCCAGCGATGCACTGAGTTTGGGGAACGTAGGGGGAGTTTTTATAGTTCTAGTCGTCGGCATTGCATTCGCGTACTGCCTTGCTGCATTGCAATTCCTATGGAACGTGCGAAGAGTTTCTGTCGAAGAGAAAGTATGACACTTTCGCTAAAAATGTTCAAGCGAAAAACCCAGTTTGTGTTTTAGATTCCATACGCCGAAACGCTGAAAGCTGAGCTCAGATTTGCCTGCAACATTTTTTTGAAGAAAAAAGCAGTTAAATCGAACAAATCCGAAAAATCTTCACCAAATTAGTCACATATTATATTTAGTTGTTTCCTTTCGGGATGCAAATTTTCCTTTTTTTTTTGCTCTGCTAAAAATGATAATTAATTTCCAACTTAGACATCCATAATATAAACGTTAACAAAAATTATGTAAACTATAAGCAGCTTTTTATTTGCCTATTAACGTAGCCCGAATAAAAGCCAACCAAAACTGCGAGGACGTTTGTTCATAATTGCCGAAAATAATGTGTTAATATATTATCGGCATCCAACTTAATTAAATACATAATAAATACTGAAAATTACTAACGCCGATCGCATCAAATAGCCGCCTGGATTTACTGGTGTCGCAGTTTATAATTATCATTAAGCTCATTAACTGCATATTTGCATGTCTGGGTTTAAAATTAATTACGAAAAAAACTGTTGGCCCTGCACCAGCATCAATTTTGAAAAACGTTTTCAGTGCAAGTTGGAACACCGAATGGCAATTTTTCGAATTTTACTCGGAAAACATACTGAATTATTTTAGTTGATGAATATCAAATGTAAACGATGCTGGTTGGTGTTGCAATATCTGCGTTGGTTTGGTGCAATTTTATTGTTCTGGGCACAACTATTAACAGTATACACGTAGGTATGTATTTTAAGGGATTTGATTGTGACTCACCATTTAACCCACCTGAGGTTGTAGGTGTTTATAGCGAAAATGGTGTTACACCAAGCTGGTATGCGATTAAAGAAAACACCGGCGTAGATCTTCACCCAGTCGAGACAAATTTTGCCACTCTTTCAGAAATCGATAGCTTTGGAGCTATAAACCTGCGTGAGTACCCTGTGTCTCATTTTGGTCTCGACTGGGGGGTATGTCCGATGTTAGTGAAAATAGACCGTTGCATTTTCGCCAACCTTTGGTATCTTTTGTGAAACGAAGATGACTTTAACAAAATTTTCAGTAGAAATTTGAAGTTTTGGGGCACCCCTCGTATATCGGGTATGAAATGTCGGAAAGGTGAAAAGTGCATCCGAAATAGATTTTTACGTTCAGTAACGTTGTCAGTTTTTTCCAAATGGTTTGTACTTTTTGAAAAAAAAAGTTTTGATTTTCTGAACGAAATTTGATTCCGCTTGGCTTCTCAAAAATGGTTAACAGGGGCCATTTTATAAATCAGCTCACAAAAATGAATATTTTTAATTTTCATGAAAGTGTTTGCGGTGGGACATCTAAAAGTTACCTTATTTATTCACAATACTTACACAATAACATAAACTAGGGTACAAAAATATTAATGGATCATAAATTTAAGCTTCCTGATAGGCGACTGGTATATTGCAATTGGTTTTTGGAACAAATTAAGCGAGACCATCATTTTGCTAGGAAGGTAATCTGGTCGGATGAAACATTCGTCAGCGGCGCCGTATATTTAATAAGCAAAATATTTGACACTGGTATATAATATTTGGGAGAGAACAAGCACGTTTTGGTTTCAGTGTGGCCTGGTTCAGAGTGGGGAATAAAATCGTCTATGGTATTTTTGAAGATGTTTTGACTACAGAGTTGTATATTAAAATTTTGCAAGATATCATACCAGAATTATTAGCCGTTTGCGCATTTAAATTCCATATCTTTTTCACAAAATGGGGCATCCGCGCATAATCATAGGCAAGTAAGACCCGTTTTAGAGGACAATGTTGGAGATTATCGGAGAGCTACTAGGGTCTAACAGGTGGCCTGCGAGGTGCTCTGATTTAAGCGTTTTAGATTTTGTTGTTGTTTGTTTGTTTTTAAACAGTGAAATAAATGTCAATCGCCACATTTATATCTTAAAAAATTATATGAAAGTTTGCGAATACAACCTCTTTTATTCTGAAAGCTTTGGGAAGGATAGAAACTGTTGGTGGTTCAGGTTGTGCGTTAGAGAAAATGGTCGACATTTTGAACAGTATTTTTGGCTTTAAAAATTAAAATAAATATGTTCAAATTTGCCAAAAATGATAAATTTTAATAACTTTTATGTTCCTTATCATGTTTAATAAGTGTTTTAATATCTAGGTTTTCGATTTGGTTTATCCTTTTTAATAATATATTACTATTAAAATGTTAATATTAAACTAAGTTGGCTTCATGGAAATTATAAAAGTTATTGTGTATGTATTGTCAGATTAGATATTTAATAAATCCTTTTTCCATGGTATACCGCAAATACTTTCATTGACGTCATTTATACAAATAAGCTGTTATATTTTTTTGAGAAGCTTAAAAGCATTAAAAAAAATCTATATTGGGTGTGATTTTCACCTTTTCGACATGTCATAGGATATCCGAGATACGAGGGGTGCCCAAAACTACCAAATTTCCAAAATCACCCTGTATTTTCAAAACTAAGCAAGCCATGAAAATTTTGTTAAGGTCACCTTTCGTTTCACAAAAAAAATACCAGAATCCCTTAGTCGCTACCAAAATGGGACACAGTGTACAATAAATACGTCGAAATTAAAAATCTGGAAATATTCGTTTCCAATCGTTTCAGTCTGCCAAGCAGCTTGCTCTGAAAGCGGAATATCTGCAGTATTCGGACCAAACAATTTAGTAACAGCTTCAGCATTCGAATCAGTATGTTCCCATCTCGGTATACCGTTTATTTCAACCAGATGGAGACCTAGACAAACCAAAAAGTTCGAAACTACCTTTAACTTTTATCCGGATTCGGATTTGCTGTCACAGGTAGCTCAATCGCTAACTAAAATTCGCAAAATTTTTGAGACTTTTCAGGGCTTGGCTGCTATTATCGAGAGTTTAGATTGGGACCGTTTCGCGATCCTCTATGAAAATAAGGATAGTCTTCTCAAATTGCAGGACGTATTAAAATTGCAGGAATATAAACAGGCTGCTAGCAAGAATTCTATTGTTTTAGAACAGCTCGATCCAGGATGGGATAACAGGTACCCACGGGACGACAAGCCAAAAAAGAATTAAACCATGAAATATTAAAGCAAATGTTTCAATTAATGGGCTAAACAAAAAATAGCGAGTTTCAAAGTTAATAAAAAATAATAAAAATCTTTTTCTGCTAACAAGTGATATAATTTGAAACTTTTTTATTATTAACTTGTTCTCAAAAATTACTTTTAGTACCTTGATTTTTTCTTGCTCTCAGAGGCTCAAAACATTTTTTAGAACTCACCTTTTCAAATATTTGTGTGTCTAAGTTTTGTCGGTACGCTTGTTCGCAGATTCCTTCTCAAGCATATCCGAAATTCAGCTATAACGCGCATTGTTTTGGACTGTAGCGTGGACAAAATCCTGGACGTCCTAACCCAAGCCAAAGAGGTGAGACTGCTTTCAGATTTCGCCACAAGCGTATTCCTAACTTCGCTGGTAACGTAAAAATGTCTATAGCGTTAAATAGTTAGTACGTACTACTAGATTATTTTTAGGATGCTCACACTTTGGATTTCAGCCAGCTGGACACAAAATCGAACATTACGACCATGAGGCTGTTCGATCCTTCCGATCCATTCTTCTCCGACAGAGCCGGAAAATATCTTCCAGGCCAACAGCCAGAAAAAATAACGGTGAGCCCTTCCTCACTTACCTGTTTTAGAGGTTTTGATAGATTGCTCAGTATTTATTTATATAGTAAAATATTAATTTTGCAAGGAAATATTTAAATGAGATTAACAATATGTTGTTGATAAAGGATATCGGGTAGCGGTCTGTGGTTAAAAAACAAGGGAAATAAAAAGCTCCTTTTTCCTTAACAATCAATATTTCGTCAAGTTATTTGTTGGCTTCTTCAGGAGTAAACTAAAATTTAATAAAAACAACAGGCCAAACTATATAACAGACAATTGTGAGAATTACAAAATTAGAGTTTACCACATAGTTCTTCAAAACAATACTCTACAATTAGTGTAAATGAACGAAGCGACATAACGAAACAAACGGAGAAACACTTAGTATACAATTTTTAATAGTGGTAGGCAAAAGTTGCGCTAACGGGTGTATCGAAAAAACAATCAAAAAACAATCCATATAAATAATGACAAAAAGCATAAAAATAACCTACTCCGTGGATCAACGAAGTAAAGCGGATTCACTACTTGATGGCTGAATATTATATTATCTGTTGTTCAACCGAAAAATGTTACGGTATATATTGCTTATTTGCTGTGTATCAGACTTGTAGTTAATAGAATTTTTGTTTTTGTTAATAGAGCCCATTTCAAGAAACAGTCGGCCTTTATATATTTTAGGATTGCTGTGTTGTGTCAAACATTGTTTCAACTGTATAGTCGGCCCAATATAACTTGACAACCCAAACACGACAATTGATATATGACATTAGGGTTGTATAGTATGGGAGTTGGATCTTTGACTATAGAAAATCGTTTTGAGACTTTTTCAGTATTAAGTTTGGCAATTTTTATTTCCTTGAATTATTTGAAAATATTTATGATAGATTCTGTGAAGTTTTTAATATAAGATATCTTTCTGTAACAGACCCGAGCGCCTAATTCCTCTCTTGGACCGTCAAATGTGTTGGAGTTATAGATTATTTTCTTAAATATATGTTTTGGGTATCCATTATTGACAAAAATGTTGAAATTTTTTTTCAATTTATCTTGAACAAAACTTTCATGGCTCAAATGTGTAACTCTGTTTTTTATACCTATAATTGTATTAAATTTTGGGCTCAAAAATGACTTTTACATTTTTTCATTAAACACTCAGCAGGCAGTTAGTTATGTTTTATCTTAATATTTGGATATCCTTATTTATTGCACTTCAGGTAGAAGCTGCCTTGCAGGTTGACGCAATGTCATATATTGCACAGGCGTTGAAAGCGATTGCGACGAAAGATCCTGAAACAGAAGTCGCCTCCTCTCCATTATTTTGCAACAGTTCCGTCAAGTACGAAGACAAAATAGGGTTGATTCGACAAATGCAAGAGGTATTTTTAGCGCAGTGCTCTATTAATATATCATTTACCTAGTCTACATGCAAACCGCGTAGTTAATTCGAATCAGACACGACGCAAGGAGGTCCAAGATAAACAAAAACTCCCGTCCAATAAAACCCCGAAACAAAATGCACTGGCGAAAATTTTAATTCTCTTTTGTTTGCAGACCGCTTCAGCGGATTCTTTAACCGGAGAAATTAACTTGTCAAGAGGGAAACGAGAAACGTTCCAGCTGAACGTAATTGAAATTTACAAACCGGAAAAACCGATCGGTATATGGAATTCGGAATTTCCAGACAGGGTACATCTTACAAGGGATAAAACCGAAAGGGAAGCAGAACTGCAGAAGAGGCTGGAGAATCATAATTTTATCGTTTCTTCCAGGTACCTAAAACCTCCCCATCCATGTACAATTTGGATTTACAGATACTGGCCTTACAAGAGTATCGCAATATCGGCATCTTTTCTTTTATTCTCTTTTCAAAAGTACGCTCATTCATTTGATTTTCAGGATTGGAGGGCCGTATTTGTTCTTAAATCCCGACCCAGAAACCTCAGGAAATGCCAGATACTACGGATATTCCATGGATTTAATTTCGGAAATAGCAAAGATAATGAACATCACTTTCCAGTTCCAAATCACAGACAAAAATCTATACGCAAATTTAGCCAACGATCTTATCGAAAGGGTAGGTAAATGGCCTTTGATTACTTGCGGTAGTGCCATCAGCTAACCTTCTTGGTAGAGAGCAGATTTGGCCATCTGCGACTTTACCATAACACCCCAGCGACGAGAGGTGATCGACTTTAGCATGCCGTTCATGAGTTTGGGAATCGGTATACTCCATAAAAAGGCAGAGCTCGAAGAGAGCGACAACATGTATGCATTTCTTCGGCCTCTCTATAAGACCGTTTGGATGTACATGGCAACGCTGTATTTACTTATGTCCGCCGCCATATTTATAATTGCTAGGTACCTATGAAAATTGTTTTCAGTTTTCGCGCCTTGAACTCGAAAACTTGTTAATGTTCAAGGATGTCGTCAGAAGACTGGGAAAATCCACACCCGTGTGACGACAATCCGGAAGAATTGGAAAATATATGGGATTTCAAAAATTGTTTGTGGCTGACATTGGGGTCGATCACAACTCAAGGCTGCGATATTCTACCCAAGTAGGTGGCTAACATGTCATTACTTTATTATCGTTGAAATAATGACTTGAAATGAACATTGTGCGGCTATAACCTCTTTAATTCTTCTTTGTCACTCGTAGGGGAACCTGTACTCGAATAGCGACCGCTAGTTGGTGGTTTTTCTCATTAATCATCACCAGTTCCTACACAGCAAATTTAGCTGCATTCCTGACGATGTCCAAAATGGACGACTCTGTTGATTCGGTAGAGGAGCTGGCCAAACAATCGAAAATTAAGTATGGTGTGTAACAAACATCCCTAACACTTATCAGGAAATTTTGCTGACTACGATGTTGATAGGATTGGTGCAGGGTGCGTCAACGGAAACTTTTTTCTCACACTCGAACAATTCCGTCTACCAAAAAATGTGGAACACGATGTCTAACGAGAAGCCTTCGGTGTTTGAACCTGACAATGGTAGGGGTGTGGATCGAATATTGTCAACCAAGGACAGCTTGTATGCGTTTTTTATGGAATCTACTGGGATCGAATACGAATTGGAACGCAAATGCGAACTGAGAAAAATTGGAGGGCTACTCGATTCGAAGTCTTATGGTATAGGAATGCCACTGAGTGAGTGATATTCAAAATTTGATCGATCTGAGTAATTTACTAAGAAACGAAGAAACTAAAATGAGAAATTTTGCAATGAACATATTTCAGAGAAAACTATAAAATAAACTTTTAGATGCGGACTATAGACACTCTATCAATGCAGCTGTATTACAGCTTCAAGAATCGGGCAAACTGATTGACCTAAAGGAGAAATGGTGGAAGCGGGAACGGGAAGGCGATCCTTGCCCTAGTGTGAGTAATTTCATAAGGCGTCAAGCAATTGTCATCCGAAAGCTTTTTTCCAGAGTGTCGAAGTCGATAGTGACGCCCTAGCTCTGGCTAATGTGGGTGGGGTATTCTTGGTGCTTGTTTGTGGTATTGCGATAGCGTTCGCTATAGCCATTTTGGAATTCATCTGGAACGCTTACAATGTATCCGTAGAGGAACACGTATGACCATTACGTCGCATCGATACAACATGAGATTATTACATCTAATTGTAGATGTCGTTCTCGCAAGCCCTTAAGGCCGAGGTCAAGTTCGCCTGCAATTTATCAGTAACTAAGAAACGAGCTAAGCCTCAAATATCGGAAGCGTCATCTGCGTCATCTGCGAAGTCTGCAGACAAAGAAAAATCTCCTCTGAGAAGCATAATGGCCAACGCAGGATCATTTTTGACCATAAACACAGCCGCGATGAATAAACTTGGTTCTTCGTCTCGCCTCGTTAGTGTCGAGCCAAAAAATGAAAGTGACGTAAACTTTTAACGCCACGCCACTGAACGTTATTACCGTGCCCCCGACGACGGCCCAATGTTTCGGAAATTAGATCGGAAATATTCCAATAGATTGCGACGCTTGATTGGCCTTTATTTGCATATTAATTCTTTTCCAGTCTCATCGTAAAAGTTCAAACAAACGTTAATTACGAATCGACCGAAGAAATGAATTTTCAATAGGAAAAAGTCAATCACGGATTTTAGGAGATTGGATTTTTCGAAAGCGCTTTTTTTTGCCGACGTTTGTTCGCGGAGAATTTTCAATTTTCTTATTGGGCGGAACAAGATGGAACTTCTCTTGACTTCAGGGACGGCGCCCACTAGAAGTGCTTATTCTTTGCAAACTCGCATAACTGATAAACAAAATTGTTGGTGGTATTCAGAAGCATATTTCTACAAAACTACAAACGATAGTTTGGAAGCGTATTCCGAATAGAAAAGCAAAATTTATCCGCTTTGAGAATATTTTTGTGCTTTTAAATTTTCCAAATTTTAAATTTAAGCCAGATGAATAACGCTATTTTGATTTGGGATATATTTATCATCATTAAGAAACTGGAAAAGATATGATTTCTTTTTTGGTTTTTAGTGCGATTCCCATAATTGCAATAATTACAATTGTTGCATCATTTTGAATAGTAAAAACTTTTTTAGTAATATTCGTATTTAATCCTTAGGAACAAATTTCCTTCCATTTTATATGTGGCATTCCCAGTCTTCATATATTTGGTGTGCATTTTTAATAAGTAAGCGGCTCACATTTATCCGAAAGCAATTTCCGTTTCCTTAGTATCCGTCTTGCATTTTTCCACGACCTTGGACAAAATACCCCAGCCTTTATGCTCTTAATAAACCTCGACAATTAATAATTCATCCTTTAATGCTCCAGCGGAATCAACAGTTTTCGTCATGCTCTGCATCTGGTTTTTCCGAGAAGGTAAAGTAACTTATTACTTTGATGAAAAGTCCCTTAGTTTTCCGGAAACTCATCTGGCTTTACGTTTGTTTGTATTACGCGAACCGGCTCTTTGTTTGCTTGCTGTTTATTTACGGAAAGGGATTTAATATCTCAGCTCGGAGTAGTTTAGGGTTATTTTATGGCAGTTTGGGTGTTTATAAAAGGTGGGAAAACCCGAATTTTATGCGAAATTCCCCAAAATTTTGATATGGGTCAAAGTAGCACCGCCTTATTTAAATGAACTTTACATTCAGTGGCAGCCCAAAACTTGTGTTCTACTAAATAGAATCAATTAAAAAATATTTTATCTGAATTTCGTTTTGTTTAATACCCTCTTTGAAATACAACGAAAAAGTTGGCCAAAAAGTTAACCACAATTTCAGGTCACCTAATGCCCCATCATAAATAATAAAAAAAATAGATTTACAGCTGTCGAAAAATTACCCCCAAATAATTGATGGATGTTCTTTTTTAGATTTTTTGAAAAAGTAACTAAACTACGAGACATATGAGATCCAAGGTTACCACTTTTATGAAACAAATTGGTTCGATATTGTAAAGGGTTATGTTAGAAAACTCAAGTGCACAAAATTTGCAGCTATCAACTTGAAATTTGATAAAACGGCAAAGGCCCACCGTTATACGTAACCTGTTAAAGATGGGCACAATCTATCTGACTTTGGAAAGCATAAGTAAAATAATTTTAAAATATTTTTTTGGGTGATATTGAGTCCAAGAAAACAATAGTTTACCGGAAAGAAAAAATTAAAAACTTTTACTGCAGGTATTGTTTCGAAAGTATACATTGTGTTCCAAATTGTCAGTTTTTGGTGAAACTTCAAATGCCACAATCAGAATTATGCCACTGTTTCATTCCCGAGACACAGAAATAGAAATTTTGCTTTTTTTGGAGTGGTATCACATCATATCACCTTCTATAAATAAAAGGTAAAACTTCATCTAGATAGATAATTTTAAGTAGAATTCAGTGATGTCAACAATTTGTTTTAGACAAAATTAAACAAAATAATAAATAGGAATATGCTATTATATATATTATAAATATATACTATAAATAAAAAATTACTAACCATATTTTACTCTGAACTTGTTAGACTCAATTATCTTGATAAACTTGATAATAATGACTAAGAAAACTTTTCAAAATGGTTCCCCTCCTCCCGATCTAAATACTTCTTTCTGTTCTATAGTTCTATAGTGTTGGCTGGATTTAGGTAATTATTTTGTCTAATGCCAAACGAAAAAAATCTATTATTGAGAGGTCTGGCGATATACCTGACCACCTTACTGGTTGATTTGTACCAATCCAGCGATTGCGAAAATGTGCAGACAGAAATGGTGTTATTTGTGAATTGTGGGAAGAGCGTCGTCCCGCTGAAAGTAAATATTGTGGGGCACGTTATCCAATAAATTCAGTAGCATTCGATTTAAAATTGCTAGATATGTGTCTGCTGTTCAAATCAATCTTTGTTCCCACTATGAAGCAAGCGACGTTAAATCCAAACCTTCCCTGTTGTTGCCGACGTTAAAAATTGATTTTTCGTATACCAATATTTATTATTATTATTACTTTATCCACAACTTCTGATTCCTGTTGCATCGATTTTTGCTGAGTCGAAATTGCTGACGTTTCGCCAACCATCCTATTGGCTTCTTCAGAGCTTGACTGAAACTGGCTCGTATTAGACATTTAAACTCGAAACACCCTAACATCCGTCTTTTGAGTTGGAAGCTAATAATAACCTGCCATTCGTAGATTTTCCTATCAATAAATAATCAGATCTAACATTGGGTCATTGTGTTTACAGAAAACCTACGCACATAGATCGATACATTAATGCATGGTCACATTACCATCCGCCCCAAAAATCATCGGCTATCAACTCTCTTGTTTACAGACATTAAAGATATTAAGCGTTCCATAAAAAAATCACTTCATCACAATCTTACAATAGTAATGAGGCCGAAAGCAATCCTACACTTGCCACTGTGGTCCTCCCTTACATTCAAAACATCACTGACCACATATCAAAAGTTCTAAAAAAGTATAACGTCAAAACCAGATTTACTATTTGTCCAAAAACCAATCGGTCCGTCAAAGACAAAATTCCATTTGAGATGCCAGAATTCCATGCATATGCGGCAAATAATACATTGGAGAGACCGGACGAAAAATATCAGGCTAAGCTCAAAGAACACCAAAGACTAAGACAAATAAACTCATCAGCTGTTGCCGAACACACTCATGAAACCGGACATAAAATTTTATTCGATAAAAGTAAAATTCTTACATGTAATTAGTTCTTCTACCAACGAAAAATCCTAGAGTCTATAGAAATCTTAACCGCGACTCAGGTTATACCCCTCATTAGCGCCCCCCTCAAACAATATATAAGCAGGTACACAGTAAAATACGAGCCAGTTTCAGTCAAGCTCTGAAGAAGCCAACAGGATGATTGGCAAAACGTCAGCAATTTCGATTCATCAAAAACCGACGCAGGAGGAATCCAGAAGTTTTGTAAAAAGTATTACAGTAGCCTGTGGACGTTTCTTTGCAAAATGTATTATTATTATTGCCAACTTACGTTTTGCTTATAATATTCCGTTTTTAATGGTTAGTTTACGTCGGAAGTTCTCAGTGTAATATATAATTTTAAATGAAAAAAAAGGCGAATAGGATACCATCTCAAAAATCACAAATCCTTTTCAATTGTATTTCTTCTGGTTTTATTATTAGCTATAACTAATTAGCCGTTAAAAACAGTGCAGTGCATGAGTTATAATTCTTGTGCTTCTAGATTGTGTGCATTGTATAGAGTGCGTGGGAGATAGGATGAAATAAATGCCGGAAGTGTTAATGTCGGATGTAAATTATTGGCCGCCACAGATAAGAAAATGTGCGCACCCTGATGACTGTTACGTGATGTTTGAAAAAATATTGAATATGACGTTTTTGATATCAAACAACAAGTCCATTTTATGTGTTAGTTGATCAATATATACCAAAAATTTTCACGTCTACGGGATTTAATTAATAATACGCCTTCGCACGGATCAAATTGGTTTCACCTCAGAATATGCAATAAACCGAAAACAAACGCAAATATAGTTTAAAACATTGAAATAATTGGCTATGCTGCACGGTCCGTGTAAATAACCTATTAAACAAACTGAAAAACATTCGCGATTTAAATTCGCCAGCTCAATTCGGCCGAAATGTTATAATTAAATTCCCTAAAACAACTGACACAAAATTAAAATCCGAGAGGGGTTTATTTTGTCGAACGAAATATTTGACGTTTTACAAAAGCGACGGAATTAAAATCGCGACACACAAACCCACGGCAACCGTTTGAAGTTTGTTTTTTACGTCGGACAACGCACAATTTCGTGTGGTGTGATAGATACTCGGTGAAGCTGTGTGATTCGTCGACCTTACAAAAATTGGGTCCCCTCTAATTCCGCAATGTGAATTGCAGCTACAGACGATGAGACATCGGCAATTTATTTCCACAAGTTCAGCACTTGAGCTTGCTGCTGGAGTGACGTCACTAATCCTCTCGAAAAAACTGCGTTATTTGTGAAGGAGAATTATTACAATTACGTGTTCTAATTCTGTTATCTAGGCCTTTCAAAAAATGGAAAGCAAATGAATAATACAATTCGAGACAGTATAATAAAAAGTCATAGCGGAACAAATCCTCCCTTAGTAGCTAGCTTAGTGGGCGATTTCTCATGACTAACGGGTTGACTTAAAAGCTGAACTCTTTTACTAATTTTACTTTTCTTAGAATTCCCGCTTCACTTTTTTTCAACTTTAATATCGATATGCTGTATGTACGACGTTTTCTTGAGAGCTATTATAAGTTTAGGTTCCAAATACACCGATTTACTGATCATATAGCATTCGGGTACTCTTACATTGTTCCTCTGTAAGTACTGGAATTGTAAATTTATTAGGATATTTTATTAAAAATAAAATTATAATTAACAAATACCTACAAAAATATAAATAGAGTCCAGCACATTACTTATCCAAACTTATTATTTCAGACTGCAATTATAGAGGAAGTGTCCGAGTTTTTGAATTAGTATCTCACATTTTAAGTTTGCTCTCAATCATGAAGCTACTTACAATCAGAAGGAAACATGCGAATATTTCAAGATATCGATCAATCCTACAGTAAAAGGAAACACCCTGAAGCAATAACATAGATATATAATACGTACTTGTATAATTTATTCGTTCTATTTTCATTGCCATTAAACGCTAGAAGCGAACATAGCTGTTATACTTTTTAAAAAAATTTCGAATGGATATAGTTTATTCTTGTCATAAATTATTTTCAATATCCACTTTTGAGTCATTTCTAGCATTCTAAGATCCAGCACTCCCCCCCTCCCCCAAACCATTATTCCGTAGTATGTATGTGGTTGAACAAGCCTTGCACTTTTTTTATGTTTTTCTATGATTGCAAAATCTCTATCTCAACTAAAAAAGGTGTATCCTTTAACGGGAAATTTATAAATAATTACATCAAAAACATTATTTGGCAGCAGAGTCAAATACATTATTGCTGTTATGAACTGGTTTTTATTTTGTCCGCCGCAGTTATCGGACCACAAAATAAGCTTTCTTCTTCCGTGATTGTCAATTTCTTTAGTGAAGTTGGTATGTAAACAGGAGCTTTTTTCCATAGAACTCCTTCCACCAAAGTCCTCAGTCCATAGACACATGAATTCCTTTCCTGTAACAGAATTATGAATTCCTAAGTTACATACTGTGACCTGTTGTGTCAGTTGATATTGTTTTTGTAGCAGTCTTTGCTCGTCGATGGTGAAGTTCTTGTTCCGTTACGGCAGTTTTATTTCCTGATTTTATCTGAACAGCCAAATTATCACATGTGGAGCATGTATCTACACTGGGCTTTGCAAAAGATGGGTTAAATTTCCTTATACCATTGCCTATTGAGAGGTGGTTTATTAGTTTTCGGTTGAGTATTTCTCCAAAAATTCACGGTATATCCTACTAATGCTTAAAGCTGATGACAAAAAGAGCTTATCCGGGGTTTTCGCTCTTAATTTTTGGAAAACTTTCAATATGCCCTATAATTCTGGCAGTCCATGTGGGCTATGGAAATATTTTTTCCAGCACCTCCTCATTTTGCCGACCATCAAGAATTTTTTCTCCCAAAAGCTGTACTCTTCTTGGTGTTACAGGAAACGTACTGAATCTCCAGGTAAAAGTAAGTGTGAAGTGAAGTGAGTGTTTCCTTCTACTTTCACTGCTGTGTAGGTAGTGTGAATGACGTCTGTCTCCTTTAGATTAATTGTAGATGAATTACTCTTTGTAGGTAACATTACTACTTACGTCAGACGTAGGAATTTTCTGTGGAATCATTTTTTTGCTTTCTTCGCCGTAATTTTTCTTAAGTTTGTTCTTCTTCGAGCTATCCTCACATTTCTTCTTCTTAGAACAATTCTCTTTAGATTTATCCATACCACCTTTAATATTTATGTGATAAAACTCAACATAACACTTAGAAATGAATGTATTATCAGACTAACACTGCGGTACATGCAACGTTACGACTTGGATCGCCGCTCTACCTTCCACTCTCTGCTAGCGATATCGTCACAAAATAAATTTTAGGCGATGAAAAATAGTTCTTACAACAGATTTCACGTGAAAACCAATAATTGGCACTTACAACGTTATAGAAATGCACGCTTCATTTATTACTGAATTTATTGAAAACTTGATCGAACTGAACCAAGTATCACATTCTAATGCGGTAGTAGGATAGAGACTATTAATTTGATGTAATCCGTCTTGAAGTTTACTCAGACGAAACTGTTACCGCTCCAAGCGTCCAGTTTAGAGCTCTACAAACACAATGATCGTGTTCGAACAGACCGAACGCAAAACGTACTCTAGTGTTTATCTAATCTCGAAGTTTATGTGCAGAGATCTCCTTTGACGAAGCCCCTGTTTGTCTGCTACTTCTTCGAGTGACGCTCGGAAATAAATAGGGGTATAGCCCTACGGACGCTGCCGCTTTTCCGTTTGGTTTTCATCAGCATTTGGTGAATTACAACTAGAATTATCGTTGCAGATTTGAGAATACCAGCGAAAAATGCTTAGTTTCTTTGTGACTACAATATTGCATTGATATTTCCCTTTTTTTATGAGGCAGTGATATGTGTTTATAATTAGATACAATAAAAATATCTATGTGCTATTGAAAAGAACATGATTTAGTCCAGTACCATTTTCTATCACTATGAGAAGAAAACTTAAAATGCAGATTTCTGAAATCATTTAGCAACCAAACAAAGAAAATTGAAATCCGTGTAATAAAAAGTCATGGCAGAACAAATCCCCACTTTGGAGCTATCGCCTCTTTTTGAGTACAACGTTAATGGGCGATTTCTAATGGCTTACGGGTTGTCTCAAAACCTGAACTCTTTAACTAATCTAACTTTTCTTAGGATTCCCTTTAAGTTTGGGCTCCAAATACACCTATTGACTATTTAGTTTAAAGGGTTGTTTCAGTTTTTGTGTGATTTTTAATTATTGGAAACTATACAAATATACAAATACCTACAAAAATATAAGTATATTTTTGTAGGTTTACTTTCAATCATAAAGCTACTTTCAATCAGAGGGGACATAGGAATGTTTCAAGATATCCATCAATTCTACAGTAAAAGGAAACACCCTGAAGCAATAATATAGATAAATAATACGCACTTTTGTAGTTTATTGGTTACATTTTCATTGTCATAAAACGTTAACTACTACCAACCGAAATAGCTCTTTCTACCATTCTATTCCATTATTCCACCATATTACTAATTAGTACACAAGCACCAACTGAAACATAATTCGGATCGAAGCGTATCTATGAGCAAAGGATGTTTGGGATTTTTGTCATTATTTTAAAAAAGAAAAGAAATGTAAAAGTTCATATACATATATCCACGATCACGTCTAGAACTTTGCTAGAAAGACTGCACTTCTACTTATGCACATATTTGATTATGTCATACTCTACAAAAGCAAATTCAATTAACTTCCCAGAATAAAGTACTTATGCACATATTTAATTACGTCATACTCTAAAAAAGCCAATTCAAATAAAGTTAGCAGTCAATGTGTGGTGGTTGACGTTTCAGGTGGATCTGATTGTAATTAGTAGAGACATACGCTTGAAAAATATACAGGATGTCCCCATAAGCGATCATTAAAGCAACTGAACATTTTGCAATTTACTGAGACCCCTGGCGAACAAAATGTTAATCCACTTGCGAAGTAAAATTTATGGTTGGGTAGTATTCAAATCGTTCATTTGGTATAGTTCAGGATTCAGTGCGGTTATAGGTTCCTCAGAATATTCAAGATTAAAAGAAAAGCTTATCGGTTGCAAATCCAAACAACACAAATCAGTCCGTTTTTATTCTTTAAACCTATCTAGCACATTTTAAGAGACCCGCATCAACAACAAACCAGCTAAAATGAATTTGTGTATATACATGCACTTTATGTTGACGTGAAATCTTGAAGTACTTTAATAGCCCTGTTCAAGTTATCGAATGGGCACGAAATATTTTTAACAAGAATTCTCTGAGCGGTTTTTCGTCAAACATCTCTGTAAACCGACAAATAATTACCCACATATTTCACGTCTTTAAAACCACTCAAAAGGGAACGGCGCAACAAGTTGCTTTCTTTATCCAGACAAATGTATCGAAAATACGTTTTAAATGGATACTCTTAATTTTCATTGCGTGGAAACCGGTCAGATATAAATTCTCTTGGACAGTATTGGCAGGTGTCGGACTGTCCCAAAAGGCCAATCTTAATTAGTGGTTTCCAGTTCATTACTCACCGCCGTCGCGACGTTCGACCGACATCGCTTTATCCAACGGACATTGTCGATTGTTGTGAGATATTTATGGCCGATCCCTATATTTTGTCCTAGAGAGAGAAAAGAGGTGATAAATCGTAGTTCTGGTCCGGCAGCCATTCTCCATTAAGAATCAGAGATTTCGCACGAAGCGATTATAAATGACCCCTTGTTTAATTTGGGGTCTAAGTGGACGTTTACAATATTCGCCTACTGAACGTCAGCAAAAATACCCTTCAGGTTTTGGGGACCAGTTTGGTACTATAATTTATCACCTCGGATATATTTTCAAAACGGAGTTTGTGAGCCCAAACAAATGTAATTTAAATGCTACCTTTAAACCAAACAAATGAAAATGTTAGAGTTCTCCAAACCATATACCGTTTTTACGACGTAGTCCGGTATTTAACTTTGGTACATTTTTATGAAGGTCTAACCGCAAGGCTACTTTGCTTGGATTTCTCTTTATAACCCATAATAAATAGATTCGCAATTCCAGAACGACGTTCCAGAACCGTACTTAGGTACTTCGTGGATACAAATGTTGAAAGCTGACGGATTTGTGTAGAGTTTCATCGGTCAGATCAAAGATGTCTGCTGTCATGTTTTTATGGTAGTCAACCTTTGCTTCTTTGACATCTTTTGCAGAAAGCAACAAAACGTTATCTAATCAACCAGCTTCAGAGCCAGCATGTAGGAGGATTAGTCTTTAGCCCTGCGAATCTGGCACATCTAACGAACATTTCCTGCTGTTAGCAGGTCTCATCTAAATATATGATGGGAAGGTTTTTCGCACGAATTTCTTGGATTTCTCTCAAATATCTTGTTCTCCACTTCGAAATTCTTCTCGATTCCATGAAAACTTGCCTCTTATTGATGGTTTTGTAATAAAAACCAGTCCTTCGTAACAACTTACGCAAAGTCTCTTGGTAATAGTCAACGTTCGGAACACTACGCAAATCTTCTTCTCATACGCATCATATGTCAGCCGTCTCACTATTCCGGCATGGTGCATGTCAAGACTTTTTTGGGAACCCACGATCTTTCCGGGTTTTTTTTTCTTGGACACCTTTCACAGCTATGTCACGTACGGTCATCTCGGACGTTAATTTTATGGCTCCACTTTCCCCAGATGTTAGTAATTGGTGAAAGATAAATTATGTTAAAATGTGTATGGCACCTCAATAAAATGGCACATTGAGTCTTGAAAACCAATTGAATAACAATAACAATTACCAACACAAGACGGAATAGAAGTAACTCCAAAGCTTCGACGTCTAAGAAAATACCGTTTCATAAAACTGACAGCATACTCCGATTTCACAAACCCCCAAAATCAACCAACAGAAAACTGGGAAAACATCCATCAAATATCTACATAATATTTTGTATTACTTTCATGGGAAAAAATATTGGAAACTAATGTGTTTTTAATATAGGAGATTAACCTATATAATGGGCAAATTCAACTTGAAATCGAGCAACCTCAAGTAGGGGCTGTTTTAAAAAGATTTATAAAATGCACACTAATATGAATTAAAGTTTAATTACAGAAAATTTCGCTACTCTTAAAGTACCATAGTCCGCACGGCACAGTTCTTGTCCGCTAACATATTAAATACGGCCCTGGCTTATGGTACATGTGATGAAATGATTGGTTCCTTCCCCAGTTTAATTATACGTATTAATTATGAAGTTGAAACTATAAAAGGTTGTAAAAACGGTATATTGTTTGGAGAACTCTAACATTTTATAAAAAATCTTTACTAGATAGTTGAACTCTGTTTACAAGTATTTGACTACTTCTCATTTGGTACATATTTTGTGCAATATCTCATGTGCTAATTATCTAGGTCTCTGAGCGTCTACAACTCTGGCATGTGTAATTATATAGTAAAACTCGAGTTCAAAAAAGAGGGTCAGAAACAAACGCAAGCAATTTAAAAGTCGACTCAAGTTTTATTAATTTCCCTTTTCCAGAATATGCTAATATATCATGTCAATTCTCCTCGAGCACATGATGATTAATCACCGTTGTCACCTGGATGTGCCGGGACGGGATCGAATTTCGTAACACCTTGCCTGATTTTTTCCTGAAACCGGTCGCACGATCGCCTATCCTTTATCTGATCATCCGGACAACTCAGCTGGATTTCCCGGAATAGGCAGTGCTTCAAAGAAGCACCTGAAGGATTGCACGTCGACTGATTCCGGGCAGAATTTTTCGCTTCTGTTATACACGTATTCACCAGTTTCTCCCGGACTGATTCGAACCACTGTTCTTTGTCCATGGTTTCTTTGAGGAAGTTGTTTATCTCATTTTCTTTGGGGTTGCCTTCGTCGTCAATCTACAATGGAATCGGTGTAGAGTTAAGTTTGGTGGAAAATCCTTGCTATCAAAAGTATGTTTGATGGAATTATATAAGGTAGTAAAAATTATTTGAATTGAAAAAATTCTGTTCATAATTCATAGTTTAAAATTGATAATAATAAATCGTCTTTCATTTCATATAAAAAGAGAACACTGAGGTATATATTAGCAACAGTTCATCCATAAGACCCTTGTTAATTAGTCTGCTTAGTTCGGCTTTTATGCTAGCTTTGAAATTTTATAGAAAAAAAAAAGTTCAGTCTGGAATTATAATCACAAAAATCATTGTAAACAACACTTACTTTAAACATAGCCGCGTTATGTCCACGAACAGATAATATATTATTAATTAATTAATATCATAATTATTTTTAAGAAATTTTCTTCGAATTGACATTTCTAACCAAGAGATTTCATTAATTTTCAGAGATATTCTGAAACATTTAATTGAAAAGAAAAATTATATTCTGTAATTTTCTTACGAAATAGTTATTTATTAGTTTTGCACAACGTCTTTAGCACGATCAGTAAACTTCAACTCAGAAACCAGTAGGACACAAACGTTGTGCGCTGAATTACAGAACTGAAGGGTTCAATCAGAAATCTCAATCTTAGAACTACTTTTTAATGTGCCTTCGCTTGTATGTTTCCAAAAATTTAATAAACTGATCTAATCTATAAGACAATTACACTTGACTTACAAACAAGTGTAATAAATATATTCCAGCAATCTCCAAAGAAAGAGCAAACAAAGGATGAAGTTGACATATACACAATTTTAGAAAAAATAGTGAAATGTCATTTTTTCATAGCATCGAAATGAGATTTTACTTACCAGACCCTTCTTTTGAGCCACGCACTGCATAACACACTGAAATAAAAAATTGATTTTATCAGCTGCAATAAGTTATATTTGACTGTATTAGTTGCAGAAATTTGGCCCTCTCTTTTAGAATATGTTCATATAAGATATCCAAAAGTCTTCAATAAGCAAAGCATAATTGGAGGCTATTATTTTTACCATCATATCATTTTTGCGTTTCTCTGCTTCCTCGCAACTGAATGGATCTCTCCTATGTTCGTGTTTCTCCGGTTTCTCAACTCCAATCACCTCCTTGAAACAAGTTCTATATAGCTCCTTTTCTCGATCGTGTCGTTCCTCGAAAGTATTTTCTGCACAGCACAGTGCCGGTCGGCGATGTCTGCGTTTGCATTTATCATCGTTCACGGCATCCTCATCACGTCTGTTTCGTGGGTGAAACGAATTGTCGTACAAGGAATTGTAACCATCTTCAAGCTCCAGTGCGAGATATTGATCTGTGAAAAATTTTCAACTAATGTATATATATATATATATATATATATATATATATATATATATATATATATATATATATATATATATATATATATATATATATATATATATGATGACACTATATTCCGGGATATCATCCGTTCGCTCGTTGAACTCCGACTGGAATCCTGCAAATCTTGCATCCGACTGGAATCCTGCAGACGTTTCGCCAAAATCTCACTTGGCATCTTCAATGCTCGCGCTCCGAAAACACTTCGAACACTGTTTTCGGAGCGCGAGCATTGAAGATGCCAAGTGAGATTTTGGCGAAACGTCTGCAGGATTCCAGTCGGAGTTCAACGAGCGAACGGATGATATCCCGGAATATAGTGTCATCACATTTTTCCATCCGTGAGTCAATACGTGAGATAATATATATATATATATATATATATATATATATATATATATATATATATATATATATATATATATATATATATATATATATATATATATATATATATATATATATATTATATATGCTATTTCAGTCAAACCAATATCACATCATTTTCAGCAATACGTTTTTTCTACAGAAAAAATATCGCTTTGCATTTTTTAAAGTTTTTTATTATTTATTTAGATTTAGAGTGTTTAAATTACGAATAATCGGAAAATGTTTAATTAAAACATTAATTAAAATAAATATGACTTCTATAAAATATTCTGCAAGTATTTGTGTTTAAAATTAATGGCGACTAACTTGCGAATTTTTAATCTTAACAATGTTTTGGGTTTTACAAACTCTGAATCAGCCTATCAAATTTAATATCTAGCTTTTTACTAGCGTCTGCTATGCGCTCAGAAGAGCATGTTAAAAAATAATGTCTGGTGCATCTTTGATTCGTTATAATATGTTTGGGAATTGCTTTTTTAGAAACTGTTACAAAACTATTCCAAAAAAATTCGCATATTATTTCTACTCATCAGTGTTTCTTATCTTCATCAATACGGTCATTTGTTAGCTTCTTTAAAGTTGGACAAATTTATATTACGACTTATTTTGGGAACATTTCTTAAAAATCACATGATGCTGAGACTTTCAATGGAAAATTATATGTAAGTTGTTTATTTATTTATTTATTTCAACGGCTGAGCCAATATACAAAGAAATGATATAAATATAAATAAAAATAGCAACATAGAAAAATACAAACTTAGGAAAATAACCATATAAAAAACACAAAAACAAAAAAAACGGTAAAAATCCATAAAAAAAACTGTATTGCTATAGTTACTTATAATCAACTATTTTTTTAATATTATCTAAATTGGTCGAAGATCTCTAGTAAAGGGATTAAGACAGTAGTTGTTAAAAAATCTCAAGGTTCGAGTTAAAGGAGAAGAGGTAGACTGGAAACGGCCAGTACAATTATAGATACCATTCAAAAATTTGTAACAGAATCTGAACATTGATTGTATTGATAAATGAAATCATTCAATGGTTCTGCCGATTTGCCAACTAAGTAAATAAGCCGTTTTCCACAAAATAACAGAAAATATTAGTTAATGGTTTAGAAATTATCTCATTAGTATGCAAATATACAAATTTTTTGGTTAGTTTGTAGTGGTTAGTTGTATGCCCTGACATACTACCCTTAGTCAGACTGAGATATAATGTGTCAGTTTTGTTTTAAAATGTTTTTAATATTTTTTTCAAAAAGTTTCTGTAGGTGCTTACTTAAATTTTACTTTTTTTACTGGTAAAATTATTAAAATGATGTAAAGTAAAGATGAGTTCAATAATAAGTTGATGGTCAAGTTAGAGGATAAGGCGAATAATTATTACAATTTTTACATATTCCAGAATAATGAATTGGTCAGTAGACTTAGAAGGATTAAACAGGTAGGTTCTTGTAGTACAACAAAAGTGGACGACCGATTTATTAAAAAATATGACAATCAAAAAGTAGGCGTAGCTTTTATTATTTATTATTTTTATTATGTTTATTATTGTTTATTATTGTTAAGCAACGCCACTTGGAGCATGCAAGTGACTGAAAAACAAATAAAAGCAAAAACTGTGTTATTAAATAGTTGTATTTAAATGTTTCTTATTACAATCTTTTTGCTAAATAACGTTTGTTTTAAAATATATTTTGATCTTAAAAATATGATTTTATTTAAAAACCATTTTAAGTTGATTGGAAGTTTGAAATGGAAGTTGAGTACCACATTAACTGTCATAGAATAACGTGAACCGAAATAAAGCCTGTGATATAACCGCCACTAGCTAATCCAACAGCTATTATATTACACCTAAATAAAATCTTCTACTTAACTGAAGCAAATCGCTGATCTAGTACTGAAACATAAAAAAATTGAGAAAACGTTACTAATACATAAATTAAGAAGCCACCCGGCAGAAAATTAGAAGAAAAGCATGTTTATTAACATGCTTTTCTTCTAATATAACATATAAGTTAGGTGCACGGAACAAAGTTATTTTTGATAAGAATCCTTGAAGAAAACGAAAACAACTCTCTAATACCGTAAAATTTGTGCATGCCCTTTTACTTCGTCTTAATGGCAATTCATGTTAAATTGAAGTTAAGTTTACGCTGCGTATAACTAAATTAGCTTTAAACGTTCATAACTTACTAAACGCGGCATCTTGAAAGTCATACGCCATCACGAGGCATAGAGCTGCGGTCACCGAAATACAGACGTTAACTATGTTATTCATGATGTTGCCAAAGGTATTAACACTGAAGATTTCAGGTCCAGAACCGTTTATATAATCGAGTCAAGCTGCAAATTGTTATCCTACCGCGGGAAGTTACCTGAAGCAACAAGCCTTATACAAAGGATCACTATTTTATAGGCAGGATCGTTAATTGTGCCACTTGCGTTTTTTATTTTCATAATTGGTCCAAATAATTCATTTTAAGTATTGGGCAAATTTATTTTATAAAAGATATTGTTAGGTTAGATTGAAGTACATATAATCTAAGTACCGATTGTCGTGTGCATTAGTAAAAGTGGTGGGATTTTCTGAACAAGTAAACAAATTAACTTAACCTGCGGGCCTGGCATGTGAGCATGGGTATTTCGTTAGGCCTGCAATGCTTTGGCGGCTTGGCATCGGTGTCGGTACATTATATTTTATTAGACAAATATGTGGCTCCTGGCTCCAGTAATGTAACTGCAAAACAGTATTGACAGCATTTACCAGGAAATGCTTTAAAGGGGTATTCGCAGAGCTTGTTAATTAAACCCAATAATATTTGGTGGTAAAATGATCAGCAGTTTTTTGTTGGCATATGCACTGATTAAAAAAATTCCAATAACATTTCATAAAATGTCACAGTGCTGCAAACGCCCTTTTAGTTTATCGACAACTAGGATTTTCTTGGCACTATAGGCTGTATCAGAAAAATGTAGAGTGATGAAATGAGCAATTCCGTCCATTTCCACTCATAGCAACTAATAAAACTACTACTAAAACAAGAACACAGAACCATTGGAATAAGTTTTGTCCTTCGTTAAGGAAGTTAACTCCTTCTCGATTTGACGTTGTTGGCTTTTAGAATCTTTTAGGGTACCCCGTAAGAAATGGCCCACGGGGGTCCTGGGGTTGCCATCGAAGTTTGCCGTTTTCTCCAATCCGGTATGACGGCTATTGTGAGGAACGCCATACTAAATGTTGGCATTCTATTTCTGGCACTTGCTTCTCGATAAGCTGTTTTATGTGGTTGCTTAAGAGTTGATAAGAGTTGATAATTTTTGTCATAAAATAGTGACCCGTTTATTCTTGATTCATCATATAATGCAAATATTTTTTGTTATATATCTTGGTTGTGGTGGTAAATATTGACGCCGGTAAATGTTTGTAAGGTTTCAAGCAAGTTTGCCTCTTGAAAATGCAGTAAGATGTCAAATTAAATGTCATAGTTTAAAACACGATGGCTTCTTTGTTTTTATTGCAACAAACTTTGATTTCGTCGGAAGCACTGAGAGATAAAGTCCAAATTCTTTTTTTCTGGAGGACATCTTAAATTTTATTTAGTAACGTAACTTCTTAGCGCCTTTTAATATTTGATAAATACCATTCCAGCATATCGCCTTTTTCTTCTGGGGTGTATAGATTGCAAAACTTTAGAATTATAATAAGGAATATCGAAATAAAAATAAATTAACAAATTAATAATAAAAATAAAAAATAGCTATGTTATTCTGTTAAACATTAATAGGCAAACTCAAAAAAAGTTACTTTCTATTATTGCCCGATTTTTTTTATTGTTACCGCCATTGTCATAACTAATTAACACCCAAACATAAAAACCGCAGCGGCTTTTTATTGCAAATATTTCGAAATCTATAAAATTTTGTACATACAAAGTGATCCCCTTTTTTTAAGGATAAATACTATAATTATAAAAAATTGGGTTTTAACACTTGAAAAAAATGACTTAAAATAATTTCTTCATTTAATGGACTTTGACCACTCTGTATTTATTTTTAAAATTTCAATACATATTACTTTTACAAGGAAATCATTTCCAAAAAGTAAAACCTAGATACAGGATATTACGTATATGTGTGTATGTATGTCTAGATAGTTCTGATGAATTCGAAAATACACACTCGGTTGATATAACTATATACAATATTTAAAAAATATAAGTTGAATTCAAACAACTTTTGTGTCCAAATTTTTTTGATATTCTTTACAGCTTTTCAAATAAGGTGTCATCACTTAATAAACGGGGCCCCTTTGCACAGAATGCCTAATTTTCATTCTGTTAAAATAAAATTATTTACTTTTTTCAAGTATCCTACCTCGATACCTTTGGCAAGCCATTTTCAGTGTTGGTGAACGGATAAGAATAAACAAAATCTGTAAATTCATCTTAACTCGATAAAAAGAAAGAATTTTGCAAAAGACTACTGCCAAACAATGAAACTGGCCCAGTTATTCATCGGCCCGCTCTGTAGTCCTTTTATATACCTTTCTAGAATAGACATTAGGAGAAAACAAGATTATAGCAATTTTCAACAATCTTTTTATTAGCGATTTAATTTTCACCCCAAATGAAGCCGAAAAGAAAACTATTGCAGCAAAATAACTCAGTTTCAATTTCGACAATCTTGCGTCTAAAAAATGGAACAGGAAACTTCACACTATGAAACGAATGAAGAAATAGCTACAGCAACAATTACAATAGTCTTAGAAAGTCATCGAAAACAGATACACACCTCAGATCAGATAAAAATAAAAATGTAAATTTTGTACCACGTAGGTAAATATTATTTGAAACTGGGCTTTCCATAGCCGTTATCTAAAAGCATTTGCCGGAATTACCGTTAAAGCGCTTTTGCGAATTTACATTTATTTGCTAACAATCACACAGATAATTGAGACGAACCTGTTCACCACAGACGTATTTAATTTTCCATTATTATAAGCAAATAGACGTTTGTTGTACTGAATATACGAGCGATTCTTGGTATACGAAGTTAACGTGGAGATGATCTGTAAACAACATCCAAGCCAACGGTATTCGCTTAAATCCAAACGCAAGACGTTGGGTAAATTATTTGCCAAAATTTCGTACACCCTCAATCACACAATAACTAAGGAATAATATCATAGATTAACTCGATTAGGGGAAGTGTTGTTTTAGTTTTAGCAATTGAAAAAGCATCACTTACAGAACATAGTCTATAAGGACATTTTAAGGTTAAAAGGGAATACAAATACAGACCCTCAAATATTTTGTATAGATAACTTTTTACTTTTTTTGTTCTGCTTAGGATTTTAAAAGTAATAGTATATTTTGCAACAAGTGCGGTAAACGGCATTTGACGCACGTGTTTATTTGACACGAACGGAGCGCAGCGGATCGAGTGTTTAATAGACGAGTGAATTAAAAAGTTTACCGATCGTGTTAATTATGTGATAGAATATGCTGATGAAATGCTAGCTTCAGTATTCCCAGTATCTGCGACGCGACGCTTGCATAAAAACTTTATATATATAACAACTTTGTACTTTGCGCCCAGTTCTCCTTGTAACGGGTTAAATAAAACCTCGTAGTTCTATTTGTAAAATAAAAAGTGTTTTTTAAAAACGAGATCCTTCGTTAGAAAACCTTAACTGGCGCAGTCGTGACGGATTTGGGGTAGTTTTCGGTCAAAGCCACGTCATCGGGACGATTTGATTGCGAAACGTGGGTTTCAACCCTTAAACTCCAAAACGAACCTGTGATAGACTGTCTGACAAACCCAACGTGATTGAGTTCGACTGAGGGCAAGGAAGGCAAGAAATCACCCCCGCAGCAGCAGTGCTACGCAAGGAAAATTCCAATAGGAAGAATAGGCTGACGACTAAGAGAAATCAAGGTTAGTGCCCAAAATTCCTATTGTTCTCCTTTCATCTTCCCTGGTTAGGACGGTGGAAATAATTTTAAGGATTCTTAGTTTTAAGTTCAATTTTAAGAAATTTCAAAATCAATTAAATTTATGAACGAAGATAAAGACGTCGACAATTTAAGTGCGTTTTTTACTTCGTTAAATTTAGTGGAACAGAAAGTAGAGAATAGTCAAATCAATTTGAAAATGAATTCTAATCAATCGTCGAATTCAGGTGTAAATTACACTTTGTTAAAAATGTTTATAGATAGTATTCTGCCATATAATGGTGATTCCAACACTTTAAATAGTTTTCTATCAGCTGGAGATTTCCTTTTTGATACATATGGTCAAGGAAACGACGAAATTTTAAAACAATATTTGTTAAGAACTATAAGAATGAAACTTGTTGATCGCGCACAAATTCTAGTAGGCTGTAGAATGGAGTTAGTAACGTGGGACAATATTAAAGTAGCTTTGTTAAATTGTTTTGGCGATAGACGAAATTTAGAATGTTTAGAACAGGATTTGTTTATGGCCACCCCCTTTAAAAATGAACATCCTTTAGATTTTGGGAAAAGATTACAAGTTTTAAGAAGTATCTTTGCTCAAAAAATTAATGCATTTCCTGCCGATACTATGGATAATGCAAGCAAAGTAATTCATTTACGTCAATACGATCAAATTTCTTTAAGGACGTTTATTAGAGGATTACCAGGACAATTACAAAGTATTATAAGACTTAAAAATCCGAGCTGTATAGAATTAGCTATGACCCAAATTATTGAAGAGGAAAATTTTCAATATACACAAAATATCTTCAGAACTCCAATTCAATCAAAAGTTTTACCTAATACTTCTATCGAACCCGTTAAACAATTTTCACAAAATCCAAATTATTTTAGTAACCAAAATTTTAATTATGTACAACCGATTCGCCCTACAAATTATTTTCAAAACAATAATCACCATAATCAAAATTTTAGAATTAGGCATGATCAAAATCAGTTTACTCCCCAGACTAATAGTTTTCCCAGAGGTCCAATTAATATGCCTCAACCACGCGAAGTTCCAAGAAATTTTCCTACAAATAGGCAAGTTTTTGGCCCACCTAAGAACGTATTTAAACCGACAGGTCATGTACCTAACAATAAACCCGAACCTATGTCAACAAGAACAAACTATACTATACCACGTCAAAATAATCAAATTAACCATTTCAAACCTACTGGCCCTAGAAATTTTATTTCTCAAGAATTATACCAAATCGACGAAAGTAACGCGGTACAAACAGATGAAACATCTGCGGTATTTCAAAATGAAAATATTCACCAAGAGGAATACTCTGAAATTGAATTTTCAAATCAAATTGAATACTTTAA